GAGAGGTGAGACCCACAGGTGGAAAATGCTTTATATTTCCCTCCTGCAGAGGATATTCTCATTAAAGAGGAGATGATCTTAGAATAAGAAAAAATAATTCCAGTAAAAGGAAACACAACCAATAGGACAGTAGCTACATACATGAAAATGTTATTGATGACGGTATCAGAGCAGGCCACCTTGAGGATCTGAGCCAGTTCACAAAAAAAATGTGGAATTTTTGTGCCCATACAGAATGTCATCTGCCTCATCAATAGAATATGAACGAGGGAGACCCAGAAAATAATGAGCCAAGACACAAGAACCAGAAAACCACAGAAGCGTGGGTTCATGACGACTGTGTAGTACAGAGGTTGGCAGATGGCCACGTACCGGTCATAGGCCATCGCAGTGAGGAGGAAGTTGTCCATTCCAGCAAAAATCATAAAAAAATACACCTGTGAGGCATCCATGTAAGAGATGTTTTTGCTCTGTGCCTGGATGTTCACCAGCATCTTTGGGACCGTGGTAGAGGTGAAACAGATGTCAACAAAAGACAGGTTGGTGAGAAAGAAATACATGGGTGTGTGGAGGTGGGAGTCAGAGCTGATGGCCACAATGATGAGCAGGTTTCCAAGCACAGTGAACAGGTACATGGACAGGAACACTCCACAGAGGAGGGGCTGCAGTTTAGGATTATCTGAGAGACCCAGGAGCAGGAATTGTGACACTTCTGTGTGGTTTTCTGCTTCCATGCAGCTGGTGTGTCTTATAAAGAAAAAAGTCAAGGCAACATTCAATAAACAGCCAAGTGGCATCTCCGTTATTCATCACATTTTGGTTTCACCTTTGCATGAACATCTTACATGATCTAGTATTCATTCCTATGCCAGTGACTCACTCATTCAAGTGGTAACCCATTTTTATTTAAAATTGTGTAATTATTCAAACTTTCTTTAATTTAGCAGAAATCTTTCTCTCTCTCTTGATGTTCTCCTCACTAATTCTATTATCCAAATTTATGGACATATACCAATTTCTTCTTTCATATGAGCCTTACAAAATAACTGAAGGCATTTAAGGTCTTTTCTTTGATAATATCTATACTTCTTTCATTTTGTAATAGTGATTAAAACATGTGTTTTCAGCTCATGTAACCTAAATTCTGTAACCTGATGCTTTATATTGATGTCACAATTAACTCTATATGTACCTTCCTGTGTTTCTTTTTAAAATGTGGTTACCTCTATTACCATCTTTCTGAGGTACAAAAATGCCTTTACTCACAGTAACAACTTGATAAAATATAGCTGTTATTATCATTATTAATCCATTCCTTCATCTCAATTATTATTTTTTTGTTAAGCCTCATCCGAGGATATTTTTCCCCCATTGATTTTTAGAAAGAGTAAAAAAGAAGGGGAGAGACAGAGTGAGAAAAACAACAATGTGAGAGAGACATTATTTGGTTATCTCCTGCATGCTCCCCTGCAATTGAGGTACATGGCCTGAATCAGAATTGAACCCACGACCCTTTATTCAGTCGGCCAACGCTGTAATCACTGAGCCAAACCAGTGAGGGCTCAATTATGTTTGATATAGAACTCTTCCAAAGTACAGTATAGAGCTGTGATTTAGAAAGTAAGATCTTGAATCAGAATTCGTGGAATAGAATTACGTCTACCATGTTATATTTCTGTGACCTTGACAAAGTTATTTAATGTCTTTTAGCTACTGATACCTCACCTACACAATGACAGTAGTAAACATTTTCTATATTGTAGGACAGATGAGTGATTAAATGAGGTGGTGCATGTGTATAATTTTTCTAGTGTAGTCTCTGTGGCATACAGTGGACACTTGATAAAAGTGATTTCTGCTGTTAACATCACCATAAATCTGTCTTGCATGGTCACCATTTTTAGTATTTCTCTTAAACGGGGCAGTCATCATTATAAACACAACAGGTCTGTTATCTTTTTTTTTTTTTTTATCACCACACAACACTTCTAATTAATGAAGATCCTTATGGCATCTTATTTCAGAGACTGCCTGCCAAGTGGATTCTTCCAAGAAGAGGAAGATGCATATGGACTACATAAATACTAGGGAAGAACAAAAGCACACTACCTTAAAAAAATAGAAAGCATGTGTGAGGTCATGTGTGCATGTGTACATGCTCTCAAATGGAGATGTGTTTATTAAAATCAGTGGAATTAACTGAAAAAATAATGTAGTTCATGTAAAAGTATTCAAAGTGCCTATGAATGTAATCACCCTAAAAATTAAAAGGCAAATTTAAGATTTGAAAATAAAAAGGCAACCAGTCAAACTAGCTATTGAGGAAATGCAAATAAAATCCACATTGAGATATCACCTCATACCTATTAGAATTGTCATTATCAATAAGAAAAGAAATACGTTTTTAAGAACATGTGGAACTTGGTATCAGAAAGGGTTTCAGAGAACCGTGAGATAGAGAACAGATCATTAGGGTCAGGAGGGACAGAATGTGTGAGTCCCACAGTTTGAGCATTCCACAATATTCCTTAAAGTGCCTCTCAGGTTGGTAATTTTAAGTTCATTTGTGGGTTATAAGTTGTAACTGTTTTTGCTCACCATTGTCCTTTTAGGGATCTATCTGGTGCCTGGCACATAGTAGGTGCTCAATGTATGTTAGATGTATAATAAAGTTTGAGACCAAAGTGTCAATTATAACACAAAGGGAAATCTTCCAGTTCATTATGTAATTGGCAATTTCTTAACTCAATAACAGCTGTTTTAAAACTGCAGACAATAGAAATCAACAAATAAAGAAACAAAACAAACTTATAAACATGGACAATAGTATGGTGGTTATCAGAATATTCTACATTAACTCACTAGAATAGTTGTGCTAAATTCATGAACAGACTAATGCAGTAAACTTCATTTTCAATTAGTTGATATTCTGCCATACATCTAAAGAGATTAGGGAAACGAGTGGAAAAAAATCGCCTGAGTACTGAACATCAGAAATAATTATATTATTTGTAGCTAATATTGTGGACACTAAGGTGAACCAACAATAACATCAATAGAGAACTAATAAGTGACTATCAGTGAGTCAGATCTGCTGCAAAATAGATAAGTAATACATTAAAGAGACTCACTCACATTAGAAACAGCACAAATAATACCTCATGCATAGATCTCCAGTGAGTATTTAATGAATAAATGGTTGAACACGGAAATCAAGAAGAGCCTATAATTATGGGAAAGATTAGAAAAAAGATGGAGATACTCAGGAAAACAATTCTCATTGTGGAGAT